TTTCTGTATTTATTGTATAACATTTGTTTGCAGTTAAAGAAACTTTGTACATATTTTTCAATTAATTAAGGTTTTTGGTTGAGATAAAAATGTTAGTGTCAAGAGGGGGATTCGAACCTACGACCTTCGGCTAGATACGCCGCTACTCTACCCCTTGAGCTATCGTGAACTCGATCCACTCCAGCCGAAGTTCATCGGTTCGAATCCCGCTCGTGCCATTGACTTTTTTATCTCAACCAAAAAACCTTAATTGATTGGTCAAGCGGACCACGAAATTAGTGAATTTAATTAATTAAAATGAAGTATACGTCACTAAAGCTCTCCGTGGCCATTTCATTTGTCGTCGCGAATCCAATCCGTTTACACGACATTTGAAAAATGGCAATAAGAAGGGAAAATTCAAAAGGTGGGGTTGAGACAGGAAGTTGTTGTCCGAGTGGATCGAGGTCACGATAGCTCAAGTGGTAGAGCAGCGGCCTATCAAGCCGAAGATCGTGGTTCGAATCCCGCTCGTGCCATTTACTTTTTTATCTCAACTAAAAACCTTAATTAATTGTAAAGTATTAATTGGTCAAGCGGACCACGAAAACTTGTGAATTTAATTAGTTAAAATGAAGCTCTCCGTGGCCATTTCATTTGTCGCCGAGAATGAAACAGATTACACGACATTTGAAAAATGGCAAAAAGGAAGGTAAATTCAAAAGGTGGAAAGTTAGTGTTCGAGTGGATCGAGGTCACAATAACTCAAGTGGAAGAGTAGAGGCGTATCTAGCCGAAGATCGTAGGTTCGAATCCCGCTCGTGACACTGACTTTTTATCTCAACTAAAAATTTTAATTATTTGAAAGTGTTGTGGCCAACAATATTAAAGTAATTATTTAGATGACATAGTTTTGAGTTCTTTTGTTTTTGTAGGCCTCTGGTCTATGTTGAGATGCTTGTAACAGTGAATAATTTTAAAAGTGTCAAGACCGCGTTCTTTGTGCGCATGCGTGAACGAAAACCTCTTGTTTTTGTGACGTGTCAGTCCGTTGTTCAGTTTGGATAACCAGAAAATTACCAAACCTGTCGTGTCGTCTGCTTTAGACAAAATCCGCCATCGTGAAGGCACTTTATATAACCGCCGCATGAATCAGAAGAGAGTCTACATGTCCTAAAGGCTGACGTCAACTAGACATCAAGTAACAATCTCGAGCTGACACGTTGTCTTCGACATTGATAGATAGATAGATAGATAACATGCTTTATTTACATTAAAGAGAAGCGTTACATAATATACAATATTAAAAGCGTTTTACAGCATGGATGCTTATCCGTCTGCTGGAAGTTGGCAGTTTTTTTTCAGGCGAGCGAAAAATAAAAAATAAAATAAACTATATAATAATGGTAATATTAGAAAACTATAAGTAAAACTAAATTATAAAAACTAGCTGATTTTAGATACAAGTTAAACAATTATGACTCGGTATTATAATCGTACCTATATTGCCAGGCATAGACGTGCTAGACATTTCGACCTCTCCATATCCACGATATTTAATAGATCAAGTAGCTGAGACCTGGAAAGCGATTTATAGCCTAGATACAGGATACGGAGTTCAGACAGTATGGGACACTTGGCAACAAAGTGAAAGATATCTTCCCTAACTCTTAGGTTACAGAGCGTCCACAAGAAATTTCCAACGTCTTCCTTCCACGGCACAGAATTGAGGAACACTTGCTCGCATCTGAGGTTAAGAAGCCATCGAAGAGTCGGAAGTTTTATAGACCCACTAGCTTGAACATTTAGGTTAAAGGTTTCCTTAGAGTGGTCTAGGGCCTTAAAAAGAAGATACCTGTTGGAGACCTGAGCCCGATGCTCACAACTCACACGATGTTGATAACGTAGACTGCACAAAAGTTTCATGGTATAATTGGGCCAACTCGAGAGGTTTTCTAAACAAAAAGAAAAATCGCAGCCATATTGAGAAGCTAAAGTATTCCATTGCCAAAACCAAGAACAATTAGATTTTATAACCTCGAGAGCAGTAATTTTGGAGATCCGGGCAACAGGGCCCTTAAGTACCCTTAAAACAAATGAAAAATGCAGGGAAAGCTTAAAAAGGAAAATTTTATCTACTGCCGTCTCCATATAAAGCATATAGTTTCGAGTAGAATTAGGCAGTGAGAAGATCTTCCTAATAAAAAAACGTTGCACTCTTTCTATCACTTCATAATCCTGGAACCCCCACACCTGGCCTGCATAACACAAAATAGAACGGCACACTGCATTAAATACCTTGTACTTTGAGTAAACCGGGATTAGATTCTGGGCCAAAAAGTAACACCATGTTCTATTCAAAGCAACCTTCGCCACTGAAGCTTTGGATTTTAGATGAGTGGTAAAAGGAAGTTAGGATAACTCCAAGATATTTATATTGGTTAACCACATCAACCCTCTCACCCTGGAAAAACCAACGCTCGGCTTTGGCAGGCCTGCCTCCTCTTCTAAACACCATTATCTTTGATTTAGCCAGGTTGACAGTGAGATTCCATTGATCACAGTATGATTCCAGGAGACTAATATATTTCTGCAAATTTTCTGTGTTCGAGATTGCTCTTCTTATTATTGTTATTGCCGCATCTACGGATATGATAATTCAATGCTTCGCCAAGAAGTCAACTGAAATATTTTGGAACTTAAACTCTTAATTATTTATAAATTAATAAATTCATATTTGAATCAAATTTAGTTACAAAGAATATTGTTAAATTAGACTAAAGTGCCGGCATCTATTACTATAATTCGTAAAGACGTAATAAATGTTGAATCCGGAATTTTTTTTCTTATTTAATAATTAAATGTATACCAGCCCTACCGCAGATCCGAAATTAATTCAAGCATTTAGCAAAATTGTCCGGTCACTGTACAGAAAGATATTAATTGGTCAAGCGGACCTCGAAAACTAGTGAATTTGTACATATTGTTTTTCTTCATTATTTAACAAATTGGAAAAGTAGATTTTTTAATTTAATTTTTTAATACGGCATAAAAACGAAAAATGAACATAATACATTTTTAACTCCAGTTTCTCAACACATTAGGTCTACAATAATTACCTTATATTAAACATTATTTAAAACTAAGGTTAGAAGCTACAAATAATAAAATCTCAGCCAATAAAGTTACCCTAATTTAAAAGTTGAGTTAATAAAAACCTGTTTGTCAAATAACGTTTTCCACATTTTTAAATAGAATCTCTTGGATATAAATTTAATTTTAATTGAATATAATTCTTCGTTAAAAATTTAACATACTCATAATTCTGATTCTGATTTATTTTCCTATTTTCACCTTGTATTCATTCTTACACATTCTTCATTGCTCTTTTTCGCGAGTTCTGTCCGGTTTGCTTGGAAATTTGAAAGATTACAAAAATATTTTTTATGTGCCAATAATATGTATATTATGGGATCATACCTTTTCCCTGGACATAGCGTTTCTTAATAATTATTGAAATATGTATTTTACCAATATTTACTTTGTTATTAGAACGTGGAAACATAGAAAAATACAATAACAATATAAACTAAATATACTTTCAGGTGGTAGCGTTTCAACGTGAAATAACGAATAAAAAAATCTTTCCTCTGACTTTTTTCAACAAGTACTTAAAAAGAAAACCATCACCCTATATAAATAAAGTGGGTTACCGCTTTGTGAACTGTTGTTTACAAAACGGTCGTACTTGTTGAGCAAATTGCTTGAGTTTCTGTCTCAAAGTGGAACATAAGAGAAATAAATTAGCAACACCTGCCTTTGCTATATTAGGCGTCTCTTGAATTTCCATTTATTATTCGTTAAGAAATACCGAAGATCGAAGCAATTGTGGCAAATAAAAAGGCAATTTTACAATTTACGATAGTGTTTTTGCGTCTATGTAATGTTTCATTTATAAAACATGTATTTTTATTGTTACGACGTTATTAACACGAATATACTAGCAAGAAATTTACGAGTATTTTGCGTTGCGTTTCCGAAGAGAATAGAGCAACAAACTCCCGGATTGTAGGATGAAAGCTGTTTTGAAGTATAACAAACAAGTTCTCTTTTCTCTCGTAAAAAGGATGATCCCTCACTGACGGATTTCCCTTCGAAAGATAAATAAAAATAACCTAAACTATTGTTTTTGAACTCGAAGGAGTCATTCGGTCAAATTTAACCTCAGTCCATTATTTTGTAAAGAAATTTACACAGTTTTGGGATGGGGCTTCTTCATTGTTTTTATTTACACCCATTTCCTCTTTAATTATGGACTGTTGAAATTAAAGTAATTAATTAAGTAAAAAATAGTTTGATGGAATGACCGTTGAAAACTTTTTTAAAATAGTTAATTTGAATTATTAAATGAAGACAAAAAAAATGTAAAAGCTATCTTCATAAAAGTTGATGATCTTTAATAATAAATCCATTACAGTTATTGGTACGATTGTCCAAATAACTTTTTTCAATTAATTAATTAATCTTTACGTAAGGTATTGGTTGAAATGAAAAAAAATGAAAGAAAAAAGGTTAATTAATTAATTAATTGAAAGAAGTTATTTGACCAATCGGACCACGAAACATAATGGATTTAATAATTAAAAACTAAGTATATTTTCACTAAAGCTCTCCTATTTCATTTGTCGTCGAAAATCGAATCCTGATTACACGACATATGAAAAATGGCAAAAAAGAAAATTCGAAAGGTAGGATGAGATGGGAAGTTGATGTCCGAGTGGATCGAAGTCACGATAGATCAAAATGGCTATAGCAGCAGCGTTTTTAGCAGAAGGTTGCGAGTTCGAATCCCGCTTGTGACAATAGCTTTTGCATTTCAACCGATACCTTTCATAAAGTTTAACTTCATTTTTTCATTTTAAGTAAGCTGTCATATCATATTTAGCGCCTCGCTCATTTTTTTGTTATTACAACGTAATTTTCCCATGTTATTAATTTAAAAAAATTAAGATTTTTCTTACTTGAAGCCCGTTAGGTGGTGTGCAGGGCGATGTCTGACTTATGGCCGGGATCGGTGGAGGGCAAAGTGTTGAAGCAGCTCTCGGGTTGATCCCGTACTGGGCGATCTCGACGGATATCGACGTACCCTGGGGGCAACTGAGTGCCAGCGACTCGTCCTCGCAGGCGGCCTTCTCGTACCGTCTCAGCGTACCTGACAGAAGTGCTGTTAGACATAGACAAATAAAAATATTGTTAGTCACCATCACCAGAAAATCCCTTAAAAAATAATTTATTTGTATGTAGTCCTTCATTCCTTTAATCATTCATTGGATATCCTTAATGTGCAGCGGAAATGTCTATCCGATGTGTGAGTTGGTTTTGCAAGCAAATACTAAAGCAGATTTTTAATTGCGAAAGTAAGAATTTAATCTGTTTGTAATTATATTTAAAAAACAGGTTTTTAAGTTCACGGCGCTGAAAACTACTGTGGCGGAAGACCCGGCTGTGATGCTGGTATAGCAGATTTTCAGCGCCGTGAATCTTACCTATTTTATTTAACAAGGAGGCTACGGATGTGGGGTAACGGATTTTAATGAAACTTTTTTTGTTGATATTAATTATTAAAACTGTAGATACATTTCCGCGGGATCTTGGTAATAGTCCCTAGGAACCAAGAGAAAATCAAGAATTTACCTAATATTTTTTTTAAATATGTTTCTCTTCCGATGTTATCGATGTATTTCAAGAACAATACAGAATATTTCCAGGCAAGAGGAAACTAAGTCGTGTGTAGGATGGCATTGTACATATTGTGGTTAAGAATAGTCTATAGACTTGTGAGGTATGTTTCAAACTATGGTGGATGTAATTAGATCATGACTGGTAGATGTTATACTGTGGAAGTTGGGTAAGTAATTAACTTCAGAAAAATGAGAAGGTTTCAAAAAGAGGGAGTTTCTTATTCATAGTAAGTCAAATATAATAGATCAAATTATTTAAAAAGACAGAAATAACAAGAAATTAAACCAACAAATAAACTCAAACGGTTCTAAATTTTGTTATTTTCTGTGAAAAGGTTTTTAAAAACTTCCATTTCTAGAAGTTTTTGTATTTCAAGTGTTTGCGCCTCTGGTGAAATTTATCCAGTGTTATCTCTGGTTTCTTAATGTTGTCGGTTAAGTTACACCCCTGCGTACAGGCATCTAGGGCTTTATAGTCTAATTTATAAACCAAGAGTTGTTGCCTACTGTCAAGTTTGAACCACTTGAATGGTAAGCAAATGGTAGCCTAATTACCGTCTTGCAGATGTTGGCTTTCCTCGGCACATTTCACTTCCAAGTCTTACTTCCCTTCTTGACGAGAAAAATCCAGTTAATCGATAAATCGTACCATTTGATAACGGCAAAGTAACTTCCAAAGGAAATGAGATGAAACGGTTGCCATAAAAAAATATGATAAAGAGATTTCCAAACGGAAAAAAGTCTCGACTTTATTGAATATAAAGCTGACGAAATTTTAATTCGACTCTGTCGTTTCCGGGTCGTTAGCGGGCCCGGGCGGCGATTGTACGACCAGCTTGTTGATTATCCTGAATTCTCTTTATCCTTTTGTACTGGAATAATTTTTAATTCTTTCTTTCCGCGGCCAGTTAAAATACATCTAAATTATTATATCTAACAGAATATTTATTTAGAAATCGTGAGATGCGGTCTGGTGTGATGTAGGTTTCAGAAAGACATTTTCTTTATCGTGCCAACGTTTCGATCTTTATTAACATCATCTTCAGGGCCTGGGATTTACAAACATTGTTTACATTTAACAAATACATTTAGGATGTGGACGTTGGACACGTTCTACTGAGTTTACAACAAATACCTAAAACTTGTCAAATTTCACAAAAACTTCTTGTAAAGCATATTAGATTAAGAAGTTTTTGTGAAATTTGACAAGTTGTAGGTATTTTTTTGTAACCTCATTAAAACGTGCAATCATGACCAAAATTTTAAATTTTGTAATTTTGACATGTTCCAACTGATTTTGGCTGACATTTTATGTCATTCAGATTATTGAAAATAAAAGTATCTTACAGCAAATTTAGCGTTCTTTCGAATGGTGTAATTGGATTAGTTGTAGTCTCAACATTTTGGAAGTTGTAAGCATTTTTATGTGGCAAGGTAGTGAAAAGTTGAAAAAACCTAAATTGACGAATATCTTCAAAATAGAGAACTTTCCGAAAATTTTCGAAAAAATATATATATTTCAGGAGGTGTTTCTACTCACCATTTACAACAAAAAACTTCCCATAAAGCCCTGTGCAAATCTCCACGGTAAAGAATAATTTACGGTTTGGGTTTTTTTTATTTTTTGACTTAGGTCTACTAAATTGCTCATACATTTCAGAAATCCTAACTGTAGAAAAATTTGGTTTGGGCCACCTGAAAGAACGTTAAATTTACTGTAAGAAAACTTATTTGCATTGCAAAATTGATGGAAAAGTCCTGCATGAAAAATTCAGGAAAAAAAGATATGTTGAAATTTGGAATTTTTTTGAAAATGTTGGATTGGTAACTGTTAGTAACTACAAACCCCTGGGGCTTTGCAAATTCCCTTAAAAGTGCCTCATCCCATCAGCTACCAGCGGTAAGCCCAACGTTTTCGATTGTTTCTCTGGAAGGCCCAAAAAAGTTGCATTTTGTTGGAAAAACTTGTATGAAGGAACGCCCAATTTTCCAGGAAATCCGTCTGGTTGTTGAGTTTCGTGTCAGTTCTTTATAGATCGATTCAATCAGTTTGCTTTATGTTAACATCTGGCAACATCCTCAGGTTGGTGATATATAGATTTTTCTGCAGTCAGTAATTCTGAAGTTTATAAGCAATTTAGTGGAGGTAAGTCGAAAAATTAAAAAAAACCTAAAACCTTAAATTATTTCTTTACCGTTGAGATTTGGACAGGTGTCCATAGGAAATTTTTGATGTTATGGATTTCGTTTATGCTGGGGTCAGTTCTGGTAGGTACGCGGTCGTCCCAGGTCGTGCTTCTCACTACATAGCTCGTTCCCGGGTATTCACATACCTACTGAGAGAAACAAACGTACAAGCCAAAACACTCACACTGACATAAGCACACCTAAGGTACTCACCCGAGGGTTGCCCTCCCTAGGAGTCCTTCTTTTCCCACTCTCGCAACCTGGGCGAAATTCCCAAGCCAGTAGCCAGTGAGAGGTGTGCCAGCTTAGCCCCAAATAGCTGTTTACCTGGAGCACAACCATGTGCGTAGACAGCTAAAACTGAGGTCTGCCCCCGGAAAATTTTCTCCTGAGCATCTTTTGCTCCAAACGAAGAGTAGAATCGATTCCCTGGTTTTCGTCAGAAGGAACTGGGACACCCTATATATACACACACATATATAACATTTCCGCGGGATCTTGGTAATAGTCCCTAGGAACCAAGAGAAAATCAAGAATTTACCTAATATTTTTTTAAAATATGNTTTAACGAGGGTTCGCAACAGCAGAGGTCATATAAACCCCGGTGTTATTGAAAAAAGCCCATTTGTAAGTATGTCGGGTTCGAATGCGGGGCCGCTGGATTCGAACCCGGGACCTTTACCTTACAGTGATGAGCGCCGTGTCAACGCCTAAACCGTTGCGGCCACCGACGCCCCCTAAAATAACACTTTAAATCACATACTGTAAAAAAATTTCTCAATTATTTTCAAGTAAAAAGAATTTTTTTTGTTCATCTCATCTTTTCACGTATCGACTTATTTATGTAAGAAAAGTTAATTTGACTTATAAACATATTATAATTTGACATAATTACCGAGTTATATACACAATTATGTGTGTAATTCGCTTTTAAAGGCAGAAACTTGACATGTCAGATAGGTATAATAGACCACTCCGACAGGGGAAGTTATGATCCAGTGGAACCTGATGTAACAACGACTAATCATCTAGTTTTCCCTTATTTTGAATGAAAGCCGTCCGGCGGCTTCCATTAATCGGCTTTTCCCTTGTGCAATATCAATCTTTCCGTTTCGCCCGTGAAAGGGCTGTGGGGACGGGAGGACTCGCTATTAGCAACCGGCCCAACAGTGATGAATGTGCCTACTCATCGGTTATGTCCAAAGGGAAACGACCCGAATTAGTACTCGGAATAAGAAAGGGATTTCTTGTCCTACATCGTAATGGTGGGTGAACTGCAATTCCTAAAATGGACTAGTGAAACCTGCAGATAGAAATGGCACTTCCTGTCCCATTTAGTGATTAGACATCATTCCTGCCTCAATAATTTCAAAAACAAGCATTCCATTTACTTTGGGCAAAGGGTAAAAACATTTAATATAACATTCATATACTGATGATTATTAAGAAGAAAGCAATTTGTACCATTTGAACATCTTTTTATGGTGTTTTTCAGGCAGTTACTAACTTTTGAAATATTTTATTAAAGCGATATCAATTTCGAAGGCACCATCCCCCTTCAGTCTCGTTTCATTTTTGGAAATTAATGCACGTTCTATGCTCCTGGAAAACACTTTTAAAAAGATTTCAAATAAGCCAACAACCAAGAAGAAAGGAAAGGAGAATTTTTTTTTATCATTGTTCAAGTTAACAAAGTACAAATGTCTCTCATTTAATATTTCTCAATAAACTCAAATTTCTTTACTTTTCTTGAGATTAAAGCAGTAGATAAGAGATAAAAGTTCTGTTGAATTTTGAACCTTTAACTTATCGATAAATATCAAAAATTCAAAACGTAAATACTGAGGAAATCAATTTTTTTCATTACTTCTTTCTATCTACAAGACAAATTTACTTCGTTAATACGATAGATAGGGTGATATTAAAAAATTGAATTTTGTAAGATTTTTTAAATAAAGTACAGAGTTAAATAACAACACGGCTTACGTAGATTTTGCAAACAGTTATTTTATACATTATAAGAGAAAAGAAATACAGAGAAAGGTAGAAACATTTAGGGCTTAATGAAACAAGAAAAGAGGCAGAGGTAAAGAAATAAGAAGGCCGGGATGGTGGGTATTTAAAGAAAAGTGAAGGAATGAGAGCTAGAAGCAAGGCTGGATAGAAACAAAGAAATATATANATATATATAAACACACTGAGAGGCAATAAGATTGGCCATACTTCAAATATTTAATTATCCCTAAAATAATCCTCTATTTATTATCCTTTCGACGATATTTGATCCTTTTTAAAT